AAAAGCACTGAAATAAATGCCCTCAACTTCCTTCTTCATCTCTAAATTTTTTTTTCTCCATTCTCTTTTTCTCCAAGACTAAACTTCCATGTGTATACTTGATGCTAATCCTGTTCCCTTAGCTGCAAAGACCTGATTTATGACAATAGAAAACTTGTCTGTCTCATATCCAGCTACTGGAATAATGACTGTATAGCATATGGTCTATATTTTTAAAACGTGTATTGAATGCCTTATTTACAAATGAATTTTCCTCTCTCTCTGGTGCCTTTCCAGTTTTTCCCCTCTCCTTCTACCTTGAGTTCTTCTGTAAATCTACAAATATGTTTAAGTCTTTTTCCAATGAAGAAGAAAAAAGACTAATATTTTCTCTTGACTCTCTTTTTAAGATATTTGCTATGTCTTTCCGTCTACCATCAAGCTTCTTTTAAGCTTTAAGCCACATCTTCATCGTTTAATCTTTTACCACATTTTTTGTTTTTGTTTTGAGACAGGGTCTTGCTGTTACCTAGGCTGGAGTGCATTGGTGTGAACATGGCTCACTGCAGCCTCGACCTCCTGGGCTCAAGGGATCCTCCTACCTCAGCCTCCTGAGTAGCTGGGACGACAGGTACACACCACCATTAATTTTTAAATGTTTTGTAGAGATGGGTTCTCCGTATGTTGCCCAGGCTGGTGTCAAACTCCTGGGCTGAAGCATGCTCTATGCTTCAGCCTCCCAAAGTGTTGGGATTACAGGCATGAGCCACCACACCTGGCCCCACGTTAATGTTCAACACTTTGAAATGTGGTTTCTTCCTAAAACTGCCTTCTCAAAATTACAAGAGACCTCCTAGACCCTTTCTCACATTTTTATCTCCTCTGATGCTTTCTGCACATCACTTAAGACAAAAGAACACTCACTGAACTCTTCTCCCTCCTCGATTCCCAAAAAGATGCGCTCTTTTATTTCCTATAAATAATCACAGCCCTTACCATGCTATTTGTAGCTATTTGTCACTGTTCTGTACTAGACTTAACAATTTCTTGAAGACAGGTGTCGTATCTTTTTTTTTTTTTTTTTTGAGATAAGGTCTCACCCCAATTGCCCAGGCAGGAGTGCAGTCGTGCGATCTCAACTCACTGCAGCCCCAACCTCCCTAGGCTCAGGTGATTCTCCCACCTCAGCCTCCCAAGTAGCTAAGACCACAGGCACATGCCACCATGCCCAGCTAAGTTTTTGTATTTTTAGTAGAGACAGGTTGTTGCCCAGGCTGGTCTTAAACTTCTGAACTCAAGTAATCCACCTGCCTCAGCCTTCCAAGGTGCTGGGATTACAAGTGTGAGCCACCACGCCCAGCCAGGTGTCATATCTTAATCAGTGTATTCCCACTATATAGCACTGTGATTGCTCAATAAATATTTGTTGAATACATGAATGAATATTGCCATCAGATCAATGCCTAAAAGAGTTCTAGGAATACTGGAGAATGGGAGTGTTGGTTAAAATAACGATGACAGTTGACATTCTAAGGGAAAAGGGCAAGTAAAAGCAATATGAGGGGCAATGGACTATCAGAAAGCAGCATAATTCATGTATTCACGCATTCATTCATCTGACATTTACTATGGGCAAGGCAAATAAGACAATCAAGACGTCGTACCTGTCCTCACAGATCTGTCTTATAATCAAAAGCTGAAGGTTTGGGGTGGAGTGTTAAGAACTGGTAGAAAACAGAAGTAAGATACCACGTCACTAAAGAGTAATTCTAAATCTAATGTTAAAATATAAGGACAGTTTGGAAGACCACAGCCAGCTGCTTCTGGTCTACTCACACCTTTGTGATCTAGGTCTATTAGTAGCAGTTCTCAAACTTCAGTATGCATAAGGAGCACCTGGGGATCTTGTTAAAGATGAAGTCCTGACTCTGTGGATCCCAGAAGTCCTGATTCTGTAGATCCACGAATCTATGTTTTAATAAGCATCACAAGTGATGCTTTTGGTCTGCAGAGCATGCTACTGTAAAGTCCTCAGTCATTCATGTTTTAATTTTGCCATATCTGGGTTCTACCTATAATATTACTTTCTTAATAATTCATTTAATTGCTGTATGTGTGTGTTTATACACATAGGTATCTTAGCCTTATCCTAAGCAAGGTATTTGGTGACTTTTTTGTTTTAATACATGTAAAATAAATACACAACCATTAAAAAGGTCTGTCTCTATTACATCAGCATATGGGAAAGTTTGAAAAGCACTGCTCCAGAGTTCATGCCCTGCAAACATCACATCCTGCATGCAGTCTGATGATATAAATTATATTAAATAACAAAAAGTTCCAGGGCAATGAAGTTCAGCAGAATTGTGCTTTGGAAGAGCTCATTATAAAATAATCCAAAATTTTTTTTTTTTTTTTTTTGAGACGGAGTCTCGCTCTGTCGCCCAGGCTGGAGTGCAGTGGCCGGATCTCAGCTCACTGCAAGCTCCGCCTCCCGGGTTTACGCCATTCTCCTGCCTCAGCCTCCCCAGTAGCTGGGACTACAGGCGCCCACCACCTCGCCCGGCTAGTTTTTTGTATTTTTAGTAGAGACGGGGTTTCACCATATTAGCCAGGATGGTCTCGATCTCCTGACCTCGTGATCCGCCCGTCTCGGCCTCCCAAAGTGCTGGGATTACAGGCTTGAGCCACCGCGCCCGGCCCAAAAATATTTTTTAAATGAATGTTCTAATGATTACAAAATGACATTAAGGAAATCCTCCCCATAACATCAAAATATTGACTTTTTATTTTAAAAAGTGCTTTGTCTTTTATTCTGGTACTTAACTCTCAGAATATTCTTGAGCTAACACCGGAGCCAATCCCAATAGCTAAGCCGTAGAACTTAACAGCAGTTGAACAAAATGAAGATATATCTGTGTTCTTGCCCCACAATAAAACACTCATCCATTTTATTTAGAATTACATTTGATTAGGACTGATAATTCAGTTCAAAGGTATAAACTTGATACCTCTTTCTTTTCCTTTAACCCCCAAACAATTTATAATAGTAGGCAAAATTATACAGCAAAAATATCAGGGGAATAATTGTATCTCAGGAAGGTCTATTCCTTAAAGGCTTTGGCAACTCACAACCACAAATAGAAAATACAAAATATTTCACCAAATTAAAGGTTGTGCTGATATTAAGCCTTTAAAAACAATACTCTTCTCTAAATTATGTTTTCTCTTAAATGGCTAAGAAAATCATTTTCTACCAAAATACTCGAGTGGATGTCTTTTGGATTGTGTGTCACAAGCCAGTTCTATACTTGTTTAATTTCTGGTCACATTGAACAAAAACAAAAATGAACGACTGTGGTCCTTCATCTCTACATCACTTAAGTCAGCTGGAAATTTACCTTATTACTTACTGATTTATAAAGCACTTTACCCTGTTTACCCTGTTTGGATGACTACTGCAATCGCCTCTCTACTAGTCTCCCCTGCTTCAGCCTTTTCTCTACAGTCTGTTCTCCGCACAGCAGCTTACGATGCCCTGTTTAAAATGTCAGCTTACTCACTCTTAACGCTCAAAACTCTGCAGACCTTTTCTCAGAGTAAAAGCCAGTCTTTTAAATGGCACACCAGGCCCTCTAATACACAATCATCCTACAGCCCACAGCATTAAGACTACTGAACGACTGTAATTTTACAATTAAAATGCTTTAATTTAAAAATGGACAAAATGTACTCTTAATGTTATCTATCATCTTTGCTCACTTTTCAAGAATCAAATAATTCTTGATCCTACCCCTCAGCCCCTGTCACAGGACTCTTTCCTTACTCACTTTGCTGCAGTTACAATAGCTTCTTTGCTGTTGATTGCATATGCTGGGCATATTCCAGACACAGGCTTTGCATTTGCTGCAGCTTTTCTGAGAGTGCTCTTCCCACGTGAATCCATATGGCCCTGCTCTATCATTTCCTTTAGGTCTTTGCTCAAACATCATCTTCCAGGTGTGCCCTTTCATGATCACCTTACGGACAATCCATACTTCCCACCCCCACACATATTTCCTCTCCTCTTTTCCTCTTTTGTAGTCCACCATATCACCTACGATTTGGCATTCTGTATCTACTGTTTATCATTTGTTTACCCCACAAGAGGGTGAATTCCTTCTGGATGAAGATCGTCTATCTGCTTTGTTCACTGCTGTATCCCAGGAACAAGAACAGGTCTAGCACATAGTAGATGTTCAATAAATATTTGCTTAATGAACAATATTACTCCAACTCTAGAACTTTCACTCTTAACCCTATTAAGAGCTAAAAGGCATCCCCCAATTTCCGGGTGGCATTTGACTTTCGTGAACTTATATGCAGTATCTTTTGTTTGACACACGGTTCCCTCTGATTTTTCTTAGATATGTGCAAGAAAGATGAAAATCAATCATGCATAACACTGATTTTAGATAATTTCTTATCCATAAACCAATAGAGAAAATGCCTTCTGAATTTGTAGCTTCTCCTCTTAAACCTAAGGGACATAAACTGAATATCTGTTGCCTTTGCCGCGTGGGGGGGGGTTGGAAGGGGGCCAGGAGAGACGTGAAAGCCCAGGAGCCCTTCTTCAAGAGCGTCAACTCTTGTGCACTCCAACTTACTTTTTTGAGGGGGTGGGCATCGTTCGAGGTCTCTGCCAGGGGGTGTCTGTTTTTCACCCTTTGAGGTGCCTATTGTGCTGTGTCTTGAGAACGAGGAGAGGTGGGCGAGGAGGGGGTAAGAAGGGATGCTGCGTGCGGCTCCAACTGCCTCCGAACACAAAGTCGGGAGGCGAGGGATCCGCGCGGGTGTCTCGGGGGCCAGCGGGCGCCCGGGCCGCGCGCTCGGATCGCAGCCTCGGCCCCGGGGCGCGGGCGGGACGCGGGCTGCGCGGAGTTAGGCCCGGACAGAGCCCCATGGCCTCCCGGCGGCCGGGCACGGGGCCCCGCGCACCTCACTCACCCCGGTTCCCCCAATCCGGCACCCTTCTCGGTTACCTCGAACTCTCTTCAGCGAAATGGGATCCTTCTCCTGTTCTGCTGACATTACAGACCGCAAAGCATGACTCCCCCCCAGGCCGCGGGAATTCGGTCTCTTTGATGCTGCGGCGGCGGCTCCTCCTCCTCGCGGGGCCGCTGCGGCTGCGAGGCAAGCCTCGGAGCCGAGGCACGGCCGAGGGCGGTGGGGACGCGGGCCGACTTTGCAAAGTTTGGGAGGAGGACGAGGCCTCGGGGCGGCGGGGCGGCGTGCGGGCACCGGCGGGGCTCAGCGGCGGTGGCCGGGAGCGCGGCCTGGGGGCGGCCCCCCACCCGGGACCGGCATGTGCTGAGGGCGAGTGCGCCGCCGCCGCCGCCGCCGCCTCCCACTCCTTCTTCTTCGCCGCCGCCGCCGCCGCCGCCTCAGGAGCCGCTGACAGGGGAGGCAAGAGGCTGGCGGCCCGGCCCTGGCGGCACACTCACAGCGCCCTCTGAGGAGGAGGTCTGCTCTCTCGCCGCTCCCGAGTCGCAGACACAAAAGCCCCCAGACTGGAGCCGCCTGCAAAACCCGCTCTGGGGCGGGCGAGGGACGTGGCGCGGCCCCGCGGCTTCCCCGCCCTGAGCTCCCCAGCCCCGCGCGGGGACGGGCTTCGGGGGGCGGGGGCCGCTGCCTCGTCCCGCTGCGCCTCCCGCCACCGCCGCCGCCTCGCGCTCCGCCTCGGCCCAGCCCCCACGGCCCGCGCGCGCCTCTCGCTCCGCGCCGGGGCTCGCGGGCCCGCGGCTCTTGCAGCCCGGACGGGCAGCGCGCGCCTAGGGGCCGCCCCGCCCCGCGCCGGGCGCTCCCTCGCAGCCCGCCAGGCCCGAGGACGCCAAGACCCTGCGGCTGACGCGACCGGGCCCAGCTTTCGCAAGGAAAGGGCATCTCCGAACTTCGTCGGAGGCCACAGCAGCCGGTATCTCGGCCTCGCAGCCAGGGATCGCAAAGATGAACGTACCATGCGAGGAAACTTTGTAAGCCGGAGCTGGAGAGTTCTCGGCGGGCATGTGGGAATCCAGATTCCCCGACTCCGTGTCCGCGTGGCCGTGGTGTGGACACCTGTTTGTGGAATGCCTCCACTTGGTATTTTAACGACTTGACTCTTCAAGAAAAAGCGACGTAGAATGAATATCAGGACGGTGTGTGTGTGGGGGGGGGGTGTTGAAGCAGTGACGCGGCTGAATCTCATTTAGACGTTAAATTTTAGGAGGAACACCCCCGGTGTGATTGTAAATTAGATGTGATCACCCGTCCACATTCTTCAGTTGGGCTGTGTGACCGGAGGCGACTTGGGTAACCTCTCTGGGTCTCAGTTTTCTGGTCTATAAAAGGCAGTGGGGCTACATCTCGAAGGTTTCTTCTAGCTCTGACATTGTTTAACGTAGTTCTACGAAATTGTTTTCCCTGTTTTTTTTTTTTTGTTGTTGTTGTTGTTTTTGCTAGGTTTTCTAGTTATCCACTGGGCTTATTTTGATGTAAGAATCACCGAAAAGCACTCATGAAGCGTGGGAGGACATAGAAATAGCTACAGACTGGAGTCTCGTCCTTCCAGAGACAGACACCCAACTCATTCAGCTGCACAGTGTCCCAGAGAACAGATGTAAACATGAAGCCAACGTACAGCCTCAACAGCTGCATACCAGACAAGCGCCACATAGTGTGGTCCGGGCCAAATGTAGCCCTTTATCTAATCAGGGTGGTCTGGAATGATGGAATTCCTGATTAGAAGAGTCAGACTAGGACAGGCTAGGGAAAATATTCTTACAGGAAGCACCCCGAGGAGAAGGTTCCTGCTAACTAGAATGTAACCTCCATGCAGGCAGGAATTTTGACTGGTTCGCTGCTGTATCCTCTGGTACCTAATAATGACTAACACATAGTAAGTGTTCGAGAAAATGTTTACTGATGTATGAATAAACAGACTTCAAGTGGCCCTGGAACGACTGGGATGGCAGGGCTTTGGTAAGAGTAATAAAGCCGAAGCAAATGGTAATATAATAGATTGGGGGCCGGGTGCGGTGGCTCACGCCTGTAATCCCAGCACTTTGGGAGGCAAAGGCGGGGCGGATCACGAGGTCAGGAGATCCAGACCATCCTAGCTAACATGGCTAAAAAGACAAAAATTTAGTTAGGCGGGTGTGGTGGCGGGCGCCTATAGTCCCAGCTACTGGGGGGCTGGGGCAGGAGAATGGCGTGAACCCGGGAGGCGGAGCTTGCAGTGAGCCGAGATGGCGCCACTGCACTCCAGCCTGGGAGACAGAGCAAGACTCCGTCTCAAAAAAATAAGTAAATAAACATAAACATAAAAAAGCAGATTGGATCTGATAGTTTACCTTATAGGGTTGTTGGAGGAAAATTTGAAAGCACTTTGGTAAGTCAACAAAGAAATGAAGGCCAGGCATGGTGGCTCAGGCCTGTAAATCCCAACACTTTGGGAGGTTGAGGCAGAAGGATCACTTTAGCCCAGGAATTTGAGACGAGCCTAGGCAACAAAGCTAGACCCTTCTCTACAAAATAATTTTTAAAAATTAGCCAGGCATGGTGGCATGGGCCTGTAGTCCCAGCTACTCAGGAAGCTGAGGCAGGAAGCTCCCTTAAGCCCAGGAGTTAAAGGTTGCAGTGAGCCATGATGACGCCACTACACTTCATCCTGGGTAACAGAGCAAGCAAGACCCTGTCCCCGCTCCAAAAAAATATGGAAATGACATGTTTTCATTTTATAACTCTTAGTGCAAGGAGAATGGCTCAGAAAAATCATTGCTAAGAGATTTTGAGTTCTTTATTGTAATTCCCTAAAACTAGAGGCTCAGAAATAGTAGGAAAATCAAGAGAAATGAATTGGCTTCTTTTTCATGATTCATCAAGAATAAAAAGACCTTCTTACTTGGGCATAGTCTTTTAGATCGACTTTACTTCCAAATCTTGATGGCTTGCTTGCACATAATCAGAATTACCTGGAGAGCATTCCAAAATTTCAGATTCCTAAGTCCCTCCCCAGATTTCCTCAAGTCAGAATCTCTAGACGTCTGTTTTTAAAGGCTCCCTAGATGATTCAAAAGCAATGAGCTGATTTGATGACTTGCATTTATCAGCCATTTGGTGTAAAACATTGTCACCCAAAGATATACAGAGATTGAGACAATGGTTCCTGTCCTTAAGAATTTCACAGTTTGGGGGAGGAAGTAGAGGTTTAAGGTAACATGAACAATGCAAAATGCCAAGCACTGCAATAGACTACCGTGTCAGCAGAGGAGAGAAACCCTCAACTCAGCTTGGGAGGCAGGAAGCTGATGATGTTTTTAGGAGAGCCTTAAGAAGAACATATAGGAGGCTGGGTGTGGTGGCTCACACCTATAATCCCGGCACTTTGGGAGACCGAGGCGAGTGGATCACGAGGTCAGGAGTCAAGACCAGCCTGGCCAAGATGGTGAAACCCCATCTCTACTAAAAACACACAAAAAAGCCAGGCATGGTGGCAGGTGCCTGTAATCCTAGCTACTCAGGAGGCTAAGGCAGAGAATTGCTTGAACCCGGGAGGCAGAGGTTGCAGTGAGCCAAGATTGTGCCACTGCGTTCCAGCCTAGACAACAGAGAGAGACTCTGTCTCAAAACAAAACAAAACAAAAACATATAGGAGTTGTTTCCAGGGGTTGAGGGTAAAGGTTAGGTAATGAGGAGTTATTGCTTAATGAGTACAGTATTTCAGTTTGGGATATTGAACATTTTCTGGAGATGGACAGTGGTAATAGTTACACAACAATGTGAATGTAATTAATGCCACTAAATTGTACCTAGTGGCTAAAATGGTAAATTTTATGTTACATGTATTTTACCATAAAATGGTTGGGGTGAGAACATGTAGAAAATAAAACAGATTGCAAGGGCAAATGGAGTCTTGTAATCAGAGGGAACAGAGTTTCCAAAGGACAAGAAAGGTGAAAACATATGAATCTTTTGGAGACTGTAAGTAGTTGGAGCATAAGGTACCCTTTGAGAAGTGGCAGGAGCTGATTCTGAGGAAGTAGACAAGAGGCCAGACCTCTGAAGGGCATTGCATGCCACACCAAGAATTTTTGATTTTATCCTGAAAGCAATGGATAAACATTGAAGAGTTTAAGCAGGTGAGTGACATGTTTAGGTCTGCATTTTAGAAAGATCATTCTGGCTACTAGGTGAAAGATGGATTAGAGAGGCACAAAACATTAGTATCTTAGTCTATTTGTGCTGCTATAACAGAACATCAAAGACTGGGTAATTTTTTTTTTTTTTTTTTTTTTTTTTTTGAGAGGGAGTCTTGCTCTGTCGCCCAGGCTGCAGTGCAGTGGCCGGATCTCAGCTCACTGCAAGCTCCGCTTCCCGGGTTTACGCCATTCTCCTGCCTCAGCCTCCCGAGTAGCTGGGACTACAGGCGCCCGCCACGTCGCCCGGCTAGTTTTTTGTATTTTTTAGTAGAGACGGGGTTTCACCATGTTAGCCAGGATGGTCTCGATCTCCTGACCTCGTGATCCGCCCGTCTGGGCCTCCCAAAGTGCTGGGATTACAGGCTTAAGCCACCGCGCCCGGCCAAGACTGGGTAATTTTTAAAGAACAGAAATTTATTCCTCATGGTTCTGGAGGGTAAGAACTCTTAAGATTAAGATGCTGGCATTTGGTGAGGGCTACTCTCCACTTCCAAGATGGTGCTTTGAACACTATGTCCTCCGGAAGGAAGGAACACTGTCCTTACAAGGCAGAAGCTAGAAGAGCAAAAAAGGGCACATTAAAGGTAATCAAGCCCTTTTAGAAGGGCACCTATCCTGTTCATGAGGGAGGAATCCGCATGGTCTAACCACCTCTTAAAAGCAATGCCTCCTGGCCAGGCACGTTGGCTCACGCCTGTGATCCCAGAACTTTGGGATGCCGAGGCGGGCAGATCACGAGGTCAGGAGATCAAGATCATCCTGGCTAACACGGTGCAACCCCATCTCTACTAAAAATAAACAAAATTAGCTGGGCGTCTCATGCCTATAATCCCAGTACTTTAGGAGGCCAAGGTGGGTGGATCACGAGGTCAGGAGATTGAGACCATCCTGGCTAACATGGTGAAACCCCATCTCTACTAAAAAAAAATACAAAAAATTAGCCAGGTGCGGTAGTGGGCACCTGTGGTCCCAGCTACTCGGGAGGCTGAGGCAGGAGAATGGCGTGAACCCGGGAGGTAGAGCTTGCAGTAAGCCAAGATTGGCCTGCTGCACTCCAGCCTGGGTGACAGAGCAAGACTCCCTCTCAAAAAGGAAAAAAAAAAAAAAAGGCAATACCTCCTAACACTATCATATTGTTGACACCTGAATTTTGGAGTGGACACATTCAAATCATACCAGGTAGGAATTATAACGTAGCCAACAAGCATATGAAAAAAAGCCCAACATCACTGATCATTAGAGAAATGAAAATCAAAACCACAATGAGATACCATCTCATACCAGTCAGAACAGCTATTATTAAAAAGTCAAATTTACAGTCCCACCAACAGTGTATAAGCATTCCTTTTTCTCTGCAACCCCAGAACTACCATTTGACCCAGCAATCTCTTTACTGGGTATATACCCAAAGGA